TTCCTTCTTCTTCAGTGCCTCCAACTTCTCCTTTTCAACCCTTTCCTTCTCAACCCTCTGTTCCTCTTCGTATTGCTTTTGCTGCTCTAAATATTCCTACAATTCAATCAAACATTCATTTAGTTATTCACTATTATTCAATTCTAAACCAATAGGTATTATAACCTGTGATTAATCGCGTGTCAAACATACTGTACATAACTTATTAAGTCTATCCCGAATATAGGCTAACGGGATATAAGCTAAACCCTTGGTAAAGTATCATATTTTTTGCACCGGAGATTTTGCATCAGAGATTTAAGTGTAAATGTGTGTTAAAATCCATGCATTTTAAACATTGTATTGTCATATAAATTAGTGCTTTTCATGCAATACAATGAATTTGACGATAAATATGACTTAATTTACAAAACCAAATGTATGAAAATAGAAACTACGTTATTATCAACCGAAAATCACTGATTATATGTCTATTTCTAACTAACTTAGTTAATAAAGTGATTAAAACAATTCAAAACGTTTTTTATATAAACTGAGGTATACCCGATTAGGTAAACCCAGACATAAGAGAATAATATTGAATGCACCTATCTATTGCTTACTGTTATATCCGGGATAGACTATATTTAAATAAATTTCATTTTGTAAACAAGACATTTTGTAAGTTTGTAACAAAAAACATATTTTTGAATTTCAAAAATATAAAAATTTTATATTTGATATCATTTGAAACATTCATATTTTAAAACATATTTATCTTCCTATGAATACATGTTTTTATTAATGAATAAAATTTTATAATTAAATCATTATTCGTCTGCAAATTTCATATGGAAATAACTCAAAATTTTTGGTTAGTTTTAATTATAATAATATCGAAATACTTCTTATTTCTTATCAATTTGAGTCCCAGTAATTAAAATCAATTTAAAATCACTTATAACTAACAGTTGGATAAATTGTTATCTTAACTATTATAATTGTTAACTGATTAATACCCTATAACTTATATAAATATAGAATTATACCCAAACAAATAACTTGATAAATTTATATTTTTGTTGTGTCATTATGTAAATAATATTGATTTTCTAAATATTATAATAATTACATATATATTTTAATATAAAATTCAATGTTAACCATGCACATTTTACTCTATTGTTTCTAATTATAAAGTTAATATATTTTTAGATTGTAGTGAGGGATAATTATAATATAAATTATGAATTATGTAACTATTATAACGTATAATGTCTAACAAATACTTTTTAGTCAATTTTACATTCTATTGTAAAGTCAGAGAAGACATAGTTTAGAGTGATATCAAGTAAACCTTGCTTACAATAAGATATTTTTTAACCTGATGATTGATTCAAAATTGAATTATAGTAATCTAAATTTAGTGATATAATTGCCGGTATTTGTAAATATGCCCGCACTTAACAATACATATATGCCTATTAACAGGTAACTCCAACTCATATTAATATAACACTACTGTATGTGTGAATATCAGGTATGGTCGCAATATGAAAGTATAAATATATTAAGCAATTAGTGGTTTATTTGGTGAAGTAAACGTACCCTGATCCTTTCCTGGAGCTGCTTTTCGTGCTGTTCGGCCAACTGTTGCTGTTGTTGTTGGAAGTGTTGGAGTAGTAGTTGTTGTTGTAGTTGTTGTTGTTGTTTGAGTTGAATGAGTTGTTGTTGAAACTGCAAGTGTTGTTCCTGAAGACCGGCATTCACTATCGAGTTTTGACTATTGTTAGCCATTTCTCGGCCACTGTTGCTATCATTCGTGATAAAATTGACTGAATTTATTTCACCTGAAAAATAAATCAAATACAATGTTAAAATAAGTATTGTATAGTAAAATACTAATTATCGTTAATCTCTATATTCATAAATAAAATTCAATTCAAAAACATATTTATTTTGAAAATACTACAATTTGTATTATTATAAATAACACCACGTTTATATTGACAAATATTTTAGATTTTTACTAAACGGATCCAAATATAAAAACGAAAAATTACATTAAAATAGCAAAAATTGTAAAAATAGTTTAGATTGTCGACGAGTTAAATGGATTCTAATAATGAATTAAATATAAATAATTATTAAAACATAACGTTTACAAAACAAATTTAGATTAATTTACATTCAGACAATTTATCGGCTAATATGATAATTAAATTGTTAGACATATTTGCAATACAAATATATTACTGCTAATAATATTCGTTAAACTTATAAACAGAAGTTTCAGACTAAAGGAAATGAAAGCCAGACTTCACTTTAAATATAATTTCCTTAAAATCAAACTCTAATTAATTTATTGAAAAGGTTTTTAAAGAAATTAAAATTATTATCAAATTACAATTGCTTTACTTGTAATAAAAATCAAATATTGTTATAATTAACTCATTTTTAACAGATTTCAAAATTAATTATAAATTCTATAATTATATATTCAATTAAAGATCATCTATTAAAATACATACTTTTAACGCTATTAAATAAGACAAAGTAAATAGATATAGGGTAAATTCTAAACACTTTAATTTGATTTTAAATATAAAGTGGCCAAAATCCCAAGACATAGAATGTGTGTAAGTTTTAGCATTTCTATTTGAAATACATCAAATAAATATCACCACACTTACCAATCAAGTATTTGCAGCAAAAGTACAACATTTACTTTCAATCATGCTCATAGTTAGCAATGCAGTTATAACATTAATTCTATCAAAATTATACCTTGACTATATATCCAAGGCTGAATTGAGTATTTACTTTATAATTGCAAATGTAACAATAAAGCACCAATGTAAACTCGTTAATACTAACTCCAGATATTGCAACTTTCAA